ACGTGTATACAACGATAGCTCACGCACGAACAACTCGAATAATTTGCAGTGTGTAGCGGTGGTTGAATATAACCGCCACCTAGATCCGATTTACAGAGAAATTGCGAAGCGTATAAACAAAAGAATAGCATATAAGAGGCGCAATACTATTTACAACATTCTGCGCAATAGCAAAGACAACATAGACGAAAGGTATGCACCAGGAGTGTATTCTGTCCCGTTAAGAGACCATAGATTTCAAAGGGACCTTATATATATTGGCTCCACCATACGCTCTCTGGATAAACGTATGCGCGAACACAAATATGACATTGAACACAACAGATGCACCACTGCCCTATCTACGTATGCTTCGACCCCTGGCATAAGTGCTAACTTTAAAAGATTTAAAATTTCAAATCTGTTTTGTTCATAAAGTACTCAGCAAATCATACATTTACATATAACTAACACCTTATTCTTGCCGAGAAATATAAATTTATTCCAAACAAACGTTTTCAACCTGATTTACAGGCCATCGTCACGTTTATTTCTAGGCAAGAATAAGGTGTTAGTTATATGTATCTGTTTTGTTCTCCCAGCCTGACAGATTATTCTGCATAACATTTAAGTTGTCGTTTCCATTTACTATTTAATTATTGTTCTTATATTTTGATGAACATTTTTAGTTTATTCTGTATTGTATGCATTTTGCCTAATCTGTTACTATGTAAAAAATTTACAACTGTAAAACTTCTTGTTTTTTTATCAATAAATAATAATGCACTAGTAATGTTAGAAACAGAAATTCTTAACCTTTCTTTGTTCCATGGACCCTTCTTCCAATTACGTAAAGATTACAGATGCATTCTGGGAGTAATATTTTCAAATGCATAAAACAAAATTCCAAAATAAACCAGTTTTTTTAGAAATACATTTAATTCAATAAAAAACGTGTGTGTTTCTTTCTTAACACAATAATTAACTATATTTGAAATTATTGTATTGTTAAAGTTTATTTTACCCTTCTGAGTCCACAGACCACTGGTTAAGAATCAGTCTTAAAAGGACTTACCAAACCAGTTTGCTCGTTTCTAATTTTAGTGCAATTAATAATGGACTGGCGTCATAAGTCCTCTATATTTATTAATTAAAAACATAAAATTGAGATGTTTATATAAGCTGAATGATTGCCAGATTAAATATGGCTACTTTATTGCTACTATTAATTGATTATTGATATTAATTATTTTCATTATGTTGACATTTCGTTTAATTTATTATTTATTGTTGGTTTTGTAAAATTTGTATTATATATATATATATATATATATATTCTGTAATGATTCATTAATTATAGAATTATAGTATTACTGTGATTTTTTTTACTGTTGTGTACTGATTTTTGTAATTTATATAAGTTTGTATTCCCCACATCATGGGTGAAACCAGTATGTATAAATAAATTAACTAAATACCAAATATATTTAGTATAATAATTTAAATAATTTGGTACTGGAGGTAGGTTTACAATAAATAACCAGTGCCATCCATTTGTGTATGATTACTCTTCTTGCTGTATCAATAATGTGTGATAAGTCCTCCATTGAGCCAAAACTTAGCAATCACATATTCAATTATAATTTATGATTTTAGTTAATAGTTATTGATAATTTTATCGCACCTTTAGAGGCTTAAAAAGCAAAAGATAATTCCATGATCATGTGGTTGGCACAACTTGGCTCAAGAGGTCCTTATGCCTAAAAAGCCAATAAACCAAACAAAACAAGGCACCACTAATTACATAAACACAATGTAAAGGCAAAATGACTGATGATTACATCCAGAAAACAACAAATTGCAACATTCAAAATAAAAAACAATGTTTTTTGTTGTATATTAATAACTAAGTCATTTGTTCCTTTTAATTTTTTTAACCATTTTTTTTAATATATAGTGTCTGATAGCAATTAAGCTATCGAGTAGTGCTATGCCAACAATAGAAATATCAAAACAAAACTGATATATGTTAATATCGTCAATACTTTACAATAATCAAAATTCTGCTATCTAAACACTTATTGGTTTAGTTTGATATATCTGTTATTGGCAAGGCACTAACTGTGTGAATGACGACAACCATCTCCAGAATTTGTAATACTAATGCAATTTTTTAGGGAAATTACTAAATTCAAATAACTACACTCCTCAAAAGTGAAATTGCAATACTACAAAAGAATGCACATAGCCTCCTGCAAATTGCAGGAACAGTAGCAGTTAGAGAGATGCAAATGAATGAGTGTGTACACATCAGGTCATAGTACCTAATTTCAGGCTCTAAAGACCAGCAGACAGCCAGGCTGTAAATGCTATCACTGAGAGTTCACAGCAGCTGAACTTTTGAGTCTCGAAGATACCTTGAAAACTACAGCAAGCCAAAATATCACCAGTTAACAGCTCTAGAATGAGACCGTATGCTGGAGCTGCACCAGTGGCGTGCCGTCCTTGGAAGCGTCCTTGTATTTTCTAAAATATAAATACATACTGCGCAATTATTTTCATATTTTAACGTACTTTGAATTAATTAAAATTAATATTTTATTATAACCGTATTATGCATCTTATTACGAATTTACGATTTATGTATCCGTTGTCGTAAAAATTTCTTTCCACTTCTTTCCCAATATTACAAATATTCAAATACAAAGTAACCGGAAATTGTAAAAGCCTTACTATCCTTTTAAATTCTAATGTTATTGTTAATTGTCTACTTGGAATTGTGAATTAAACCTTGATTGAAATGTTTAACTTGTTAATTAATTATACAACGAGAAAAATAAATTTATACTCGGGATTGGAATATGTATTTACATGTGTGGTAGTAGTACTGCTGATGAGGGGCATGCTAGCCCGAAACACGTGTAATATGTGTACATAAACTATTACTACAAGTAATAAAGAAATTTTGTTCTTTCCTGAACTAACTCTCATTGTTGTGTCAATCTTTAAACACCAGTATTAAGTCCTATTAATAAGTAAAGTCCAAGTAGACAATTAACAATAACAAAGTAACCAGTTTCAACTTATTTCTACTCAAGAAGTAAAGTAGTTAAATAATTAAGAGATTAGGGAATTAGGGACATAAATAAATCCCAGCTGAAAGAGCCAGAATATTACTTAAACAAAAGCTTAAAGGTCAAGAGGGTAGGAAGATAGAG